TTTTCAGATTTTGCAATTGTGGGATTATTCTGAACAAACGGTACTTCAGTCAGCTGGTTAACCTCTATACGGTTTACCTCTGTATCACTTGCAGGTTTATCTTGGGTAACTTCTGTCTCAAGGATTTTATTGGTAAGTCTTGAGAAATCTGACGTTGGTTGCCCCAGTGATACTTCTTCCAAGAGCTTTGCCATTTTTCTCCTCATTTTTTCTTTTTTCGCTTCTAGCTCTCTCTTTTCCATCTCTAATCGGCTCCAGCATTGCCATTCAGCAAAGAAATGACGCAAAATGCATTTCCGGTTAAACTCTATAGCCAGCTGGTTTTTCCTAAATTAAGATATTTTTTAACATTAGTTTAGAATCCCTGGTTTCTGTTTGACTATTATTTATTTATAAAAGAGTTGAGCATGCATTACTAGATGTGGGCCTCTAGTACCCTATTTGCAGACCCCAGATCCCCTCCAGTAGACAAAACTGACTTGTTTACATAATAAAGTTCTTTTGGAGCTTAAGCGATAAAATGGATGCCTTAAATCTTGCATCCATTTGATCTCCACCTCCACCCAAGTAGACTAAAACTTTCAGTCCTCCAAATATCCTGATATCAGCAATCATGGCTGTTGCAGCCCTCAAAGGAAATTAAAATAAAATGCAGCCCTCAGACAAAAAAAGTAGAGTGTATTTATTTCTCTTGTAATGACTTCTTATTTTGATAAATATATTGTTCTGCTTATTGTAGCTTCCAGTGTATTTGGAATATGGGTCAAGCATAAAATAATTGCTGTTAGTAAGAGCTATATCAGCATATTTCTAAGGGAAACCATTAGGCCTTACACAAGCCTATTGAAATATTTTTTTCTAACAAGTTTTTATTCAATAATGATTGTGGCCATGATGCAACCTGCTGATTGGGACAGATCAAATGTACTTTGCTTTCCCTGCATTGGGTTAATGGATTCCTAATGTAATTTCTTGGAACTCAATGAAATAATAATAAATTCATCCAGGAACGGTTACTCATCAAAATTATAGGATCATTCTCATGTTTGCAAGAGTCAAGAAATAAATAAATGGGGAAAACGGGGGAAGGAAAACTTTGAAAAAGTTTAATAATTATAGTATTAAATATACCAGCTGAATTGTCCTTGAGTTTATATAAGTGGCACAGTATTCAAAAACATCTTGCACACCAGTGGCACTAATTATATGTTAATGAATACTAATGTTGATGGCTTCTTCATAAAAGAGTGAAAGCAATAGTCCTGATGAAAAGTTTGAAAATATACCATAATTTTTTTTTCAGTTGCATTTTATATTTCCTTTTTTAAAAGCACTCCAATAAACAAACAAAAATCAAAATAATTAAACCAAACATAAGAGTAACTTTCAACTTCACAGGAAGGAATTGTGTTAATATTGCTACCTATTTTGATCCCGAAGCTGATTTTCCATTTTTTGAGTCTCCTTCTCCAGTTTGTGAGACCATGAATAATCCCTCCAGGCTCGCAAAATCTTCAGCTGGCACTTCCAGTCTGCAAGGGCTCTTGCTTTTCCCATTTTAATTCTGAGATCCAGAATAAACTTGTACCAGGCAGAGAAATACTTCCGTAGGCACTACATTGAGAATCAAGTAACCATGTTCCATTGTATCATATTTACATTTCTGATAATGTAAAATATTGGAGTATTGCAATAAATGCCTTCAATGTTCACTGACAACTGTACCTCCCTTCATAAATTGTAATGATTTGTTACTGTATATGTATGTGAAAGTGAATGTTAGATATGTCAGAATGAATAGAAAAATATGAAAGAAATATACTGGATAGGTTATGTAGAGAGCATGAGGACTGATATATGTAAAACAAATATATGAAGGTTGAGAAGCAGACTTGAGAAAGCCAGGGGAGGATGAAGTTGATATCATAAAAAAGAAATATATAAAATATATATGTATGAAGTAGTACGAAAAACAAGATTTGAAAGGTATTGTGAAGTATAGCAAATCGTATTAGTGCAACCTAGATTTTCTTTTCTCTTTTGTGTTTCATTTCTTTTGTTTTCTACTACTTTCTTTTTCTATGTTTTCCATAATATTGCCAATACTGAAAAAGTAGAAATTGGCGTTTTAAAAATGTAGATATAAAGAAGTAGAAGGCTCTCATCCCCCATGCCCAAACTCATAAGTGGTAAGTGTTTTTTTTTAAAAAAACTCTTTTTTAAGAATATATCAATTGTCTACTTCAGTTAACTGTAACATTTTAATGCTATTTCATATGTATTGCTATCATAATTGAATGATCACATAACTAACATTTTAATGAGAACCTACATCTCATTTCAGCAAGCAATCCAGGATGCATCGTTAATAAGTTAAAGCAGGACAGTTATAAGTCTTCAAATAGCAAATATACTACAATTGTTATGCATGTCTATTGATTAGTAACTTCTAAGTTACTAATAAATATAAGTAGATGCTATATAGCATCTGCAGACTGTTGTTTCCCATTTACTATTTTATTGTTGTTTTCAAGTCCATGCTTTAGTGGCATAAACATGTGTGGCACTTTACAACACCAGATCATACTCAAACATATTGCATTTTAGCAAGTGTAAAAATGACTCCCTTGGTTTTCTTGCTTTAAAGAAGAAAAAAAAGAAGTTTATAAGAAAACCTGGGCTGACATAACATTGTGCTGTATCCTCAGGTTTAAACTTAGTCATGAAGCAGTTTTCAGAGCAGGTTCCAGTTTTTGGCATCCATCTGCTCTCCTAACCTTCTATATCCTTTCAACCTCAAATCTATACATTTATCCCTAGTTCATTTTAACATAAATGACACCTTGAGCATCTTTGTTTAGTGAAAACTGTTAAGAATTCTAGCTAAAGCAACAATCCATCTGAAGACAAGATCATGAATGTCCTCACCACCTGATCAGCAGTGTTGACTTTGCTCAGCAGTTCCTGCTTTTTGGCCTGTTCCTCCTCCTTTTGTTCTTCATTGTCACAATTCAGATAGGTAAGCTCAGCAGGAGGCAGGCCAACTTCTATCAGAGTCTGAATTTTTTTTAAATTGTGTCTCTTTCTTTCCCTAAAATAGGACAGTTTGTGAGAGGTTAGAGAGAAGTAGAAGAGTAAGAGGTGCATGTTAATCAATTTGTTATTAGTTAGCAATTCTTATTTGTTGTACTTTTTATTTGAACTGAGCAAATTTTACAGGACTGTTGTAATACATTTAGTTACTGCAATGTTCTCCATTTCATAAGCTAGTATTACACAATATGTCCTTAAATAATTCTTAAAGAAGAATTATATAAATTATATAAAAGGAAAACTGCCTTAGTAGGCTCCCATAGTGTCCTAAAGAGGTACCTATAGTGATTTTCAGTCATCTTAATGTCATACGCTGCTGTAGCAGCTGACAATTTGAAGAAACAATTGTAATCAAATAGGGATACACATGAAAAATAGTTTGACTTCTGATTTAATTTTTACAGTTCATATAACATGGTACCTACTTGGTCGGTGGTTTTGAAAAGCATATAGAGATGATTTGGAAAAGAAGATTTAGTAGTTTCTTCTATATTTACAAATCTCAAATAAATTTAATTACACTTGGAAGTTAATTAATCTCCACAGCATCTTTGGAGATGAGGTTCTAAGTTGTCTTACGTTTATATGTTCCCTCACTCGTTAGAACTCACAATGATTTTTAGATGATCTTTCATCTAAAAATGACACCATCACTCTGCTAAACAAATAATTCCCTCAACATTGTCAAACTATTCATTAAGTCTGCATTACTATTACTATTAATCTTCCCATCGTTTCTAGCACCCATCTCCTCCCACTTATGACTGTTTGACTGTAACTTGTTGCTGTATCTTTATGATTTATATTGTTTCCTAGTATGATTCAATTGCTTATTGTACCCTATGACTTTGTGTTGTACCTTATGATTCTTGACGAATGCATCTTCTCTTTTTATGTACACTGAGAACATATGGATCAAAGACAAATTTCTTGTGTGTCCAATCACACTTGGCCAATAAAGAATTCTAATCTAATCTAATCTAATCTAATCTGTTGTATACAGTTGCTCTATTACGGTTGTTCGGATTCTGTTTTAGGATCTAGAATGAACTGATTTTTCTCCAAAGCTTACATTTTCCGTGCTTCTTCCATAAGATGTCTTTTTTCTCCCAACTCCTTCCGCAGTATTACCATTTGTTTTTGGATTGCTTCTTCTTCTTTTTTGGCTTTCAGAGCTTTCCTCTTTGTCTCCTCTTGCAATTGCTTTTGAGCCTCTGACATTGCTAACTTTTTCAGGGCTTTTTCTTGTTTTAAAAGTTCAAGCTCCTTCTGCCGTTTCAAGCGATTTTCTTTTACCTGGAAAACAAGTACAAAAAGAAGTGTTAAAGCACAGGCCAGTCATTGAAACTGATTGCCAAATAACTTCTAATCACTAGATGAAGGATTTATACAGGAAAGAGTTGACTCTTCTATCAGTAAAAAGTTCAAATCAAAATATGCATTAGGCTTCTGATAGCTCTACTGAGGCTGGAAGTATTCCACTGTGTTGGCTTCTGGTATAGACCTTAATTTCTCCATTCTGGAGGTTCAGTGCCTGATGAATTTGTTTAGCAGCCTGAGGTTCAAAATACACGCCAATGTCCATTTTCCTTTAACATCTTGTAAACAGAAAATACACCAGACCAGAGGTTTCCAACCTTGGCAACTTTAAGCCTGGTGGACTTCAATTCCTCAGTTGACTGGGGAATTCTGGGAGTTGAAGTCCACCAGGTCCACCAGACCCCTGCATCGGAGCGTTCTTATGCAGTTATATTTTATATATTTCTAAAGTCTAATAAATGTATTATTCATCTTAAAATGTTTTTTGTTCATTCGTAGAGATAGGGGATTCTCATTAAATTAGCTCTAACATCCACATGTCCATACAGGAATATTACAGGACATTAAAATTATTGCAGTTGCCCATCACCTTGCAGGTGAAGACAAAACAGTCTCAGGTATTTCCTTGGTTCCTGCCTTCTCTGCCTTTTCTATTGGGTGTGCCCTTCTGTTGCTGGACCTGGATACATGAGTTGGGCTTCTGCCTGAAAAAAAAAAATTTGCTATGATCTTTAACCTGAAAGGTCAGGATAGATTCTTTTCTGAGCTACGGTGAATGATTTCTTCGTTTTGCACAAAGATTGAATCAGCTGCTTCACCGAACAACTTCTTCCCTGAGAAAGATTTCACTGTATGCTAATCCATGTGAAGGCACCATTCAACGGTTATTCCTATCTCCATCTATCCCTAGTGCAGAATGAACTTCATATGCGTCTCATGTTTTTTTCCCTTGCTTCTCTATTTGATATAGGTGGCCTTCCTCATTGTGAAGGATGTACGCTTGAAGTCCCTGCACATAAGTTTTATCCTCACTTCACTTTTTTGTCTATTTGTCTGTAATGCTTTGAAGTAAATGCCCTTTCCATTCAGTTTTCTTTTCAGTGCCTTGCTCCCTGCTTTTTTTCCTTTCCTGTGAGACTGTGTAAACAGACAGAGAATTACTGGATGGGCTTTTGGAACATTACATTTGTTTCCTCTAGCCCATCACCCTGGGTAGATCTGGAAGCAACAGCCTCAAATGTTGGTGAAAGAAGAACTAGTGAGACTCAAAATGCTTAGAACTGATGATCTGTCTTCCAACACTTTAGTCATAGGGCCAAATACACTGTCATACCTGAGGCCTTGGCCCTGGCAAAAACTGCAAAACTTATCCAGGAATGCAGGCGTCCTGGCCAGCTTGTTCAGATTTGCGACATTGGCTCTGCATCCACTGCAGCCTTGAGAAATAGGGTATGTATATATAGCCATTATACTTTCAATTTATTATTTTTAGATTGTACTTCTTTCCCTCCTCTATGGGATTAATTTAAACAATATAAAAACTTAAGAAATTTATGAAAAAATATAAAGTGAACTTTAGAAAGTTTTCCATGAACATTATATTTTTACCTGCTTATGCCTTAGTTCCATGTTAATTCGTATGTCTCTGGGTTCCTTTTTCTCTCTGACGGCTTTAGTTTTAAGGCCTTCCAGTATACCACTGTTTACAATTTCGCTTTGCAATAGATGCTGTAAAAAATCTTGTACCGTGGTGCCTTCCACTTCTTGCTCCAAATAACCATAGAAATCTAGAACACATAAATCATATTGAAATTGAATGTAAAATGGTGTCTTTAAGCTTTCTGTCCTGAATCAGGAGTTGCAGCTTGCAGTCACCACATGTGCCATCCCCAAGGTCCTCTTTGTGCTTCCCAGAATACCCCAGAACACCAAAAACGAGCTACAAATGTTTGTTTTATGAAGGCATTTATTGTCAGGGTTCCAATAACACCCCCAACTAAAGAAGACTCCGAGGCTAGGCATTCCTAGGCTTCTAGGCCTGACATTTATATTTAGAAATGGTGAAACCATAGTGAAAATCATAAGCCTTTGTGAGATGAAATATGCCTATTCTATCCTTAAAATCTCTCCATACGCAGCCCAATTACACTGAGTTTTGAACTCTGAAATTCAATAGCAAAGTATCACTTTCCAGTAGCATGATTTTTCAGCTTAAGAATGTTAAAATAAGAGTGGAAAATACATGTACAGAGTCTTTGAAAACATGAGTGGTTATTTTTTTAATAGTTACTTTCCTTGATTGTCTGTGGGTGGAAAAACTGGATAAAAATCAAAGTAGTGTTTGTTACATCATTTTCTTAAAAATATTTTAATCTCTCTTTGTAAAATAGCCTATAAGGAACAGAACAAAAGGGAGAAGGGTTCTTCTGTGACACTCCTGTCTTTCTGGAAAAGGATACTTTTTGGGGTTAGTTATGCCACAACAATGCAATTTTCTCAGAATGGTCTTTATTGACTATTTAGATTATTAGATACAATAATGTTTTACTTTCAATTTAATTGTTTGGTGTGAATTTTACCAGTATAATAGTGTACCAGGAGAGGTTTTGCTATTATGTAAATACTTAAAATAAATTTAAAATCAGTCTCACCATCAAATTTTTTATATTTCTGAAAGCCAGCAACAGGCTCTTGTAAAGGAACAGAGTTAGGGGCTGAATTTTGAACATCATTGTCTTCATCACTTGCCAGTTCCAATTTCAATTTTGAATTCATCCAGTCATTAAGCAACTCTTGAGCTGCATTGATGAAAGCAATAAAAATATTACTAGATTCAGAATTCCCAACTAAAGCAAAAGTTTAAAATATGAAAAGGAGTTTTACACCCCAAACCTAAACTCTGCTCAGAGGCAAATTAAACTGGCTTCTGCAGTATTAGTCCCAAGGAGTTTTAGCCAAGATTTTTATTCTGATTTGTTAAAATTTATTGGTATTATTTATAGTTGATCTTATATTTGAAAGCTCACAAGCCTAGGAGGAATTGAGAAAGTATGAATCTCATTAGTTAAAACGATCATAGATATTTAAAAACATCTATACAATATGGTCACCATTTAAAGCTATCCTCAATTACATATATAGTAATTAGCACTTTGAAAAACTGAGCCATGTTTCGTCAAATTTCTCTATAAATTTAAATTGATATTACCGTCCACCATCATACATAAATCAGGTATTTTCACAATCTCTTGGCATAATGGAATGTTCCAACTCCATCTCCCACAAAATTACAAAATTGTAATAGGGGGATGGGAGAAGAGATATGTACTTTTCTAGGGATGGGTAATCTATTGTTCTTTTTCTACAATACAGTAAAAAAACCATAATTATTCTGCATCAGCTGGAGTCCACAACAAAATGTTTAGGTAATACCTTCTACATATGCTTCATCATGATCTAACAGCTGCTCTGTTGTCTCCAAATCCAGCACTGGACCATGAAGTCCATGAGAATAGGATGCCCTTTTTAATGAAAAAGCTTCAGAAACAGCAAATTCGGAGGCTTGTTCCACCCGCTGAATTTAAAAAAATAAATAATAGAAATGTTATTAAGATCGACTTATTTTGTCTAACACAAGAGAAGATATTTTGATCGGCAATAAGGTTGGAAGCACATGGTATTTATTCTGCTGGCTTTATCTTTTTGATTTTGATTGGTCCTTATATGTATTGAAGAGTATCTCCTTTATTGATACATTATTTTATATTAAAATTATTAACCACATAGAATTTTTTTGAAACTAAGAAGCATATTAATTCTTAAGATAGCATCCACTAAAATGCTAGAATTTAAGTTATCTATCCTACTACAGATAGATGTGTACACCCCCCCCACACCCCCACAACTTTTTTCAAGAATTCAGGGCAGTTTACAAGGGGACTTTCCTTCATTTTATCCTTATAACAGCAACACTTTGAAGTAGATTGGGCTGAAAAAGCCACTGGCTCAAAATTTCCATTACTAAGAGGGGGCATGAATTTGGACTGTCCTAGTCCAATCCTTAACCATTATGGTTCTATCAGTAATCAGTAAAGTATATCTTTATACACATTTATACACATCAGTAGATTTATAGATTTATACACATTTCTCAAAATAATCTACTAATAATTGTAATAGACTTTAACATCTCTGCAATTAACAATCCAGTATCATTCATAATTATTCAGAAAACGAATCTTGTTGAATTAAATGAATCTTTACTAGGGAACTCAAGATTTCTTCCCACTCAGTAAGAAGTACTCTTTTTTCCAGATATTTGAGACTGAGCATTAATTTATTTTTCCTTACCTTTATCCAGTGCTCTATACTGTCAGCATCAAACTGTGGCTGGGAATTAAAGAATCAAATATTTTAATTTCCAGTTAAAGATCAAATTAAAGTAAAATTAAGAGATCTCTATGGATGCCTTTATATAAGAGCTCCCATTTTGTAAAACTTTAATGAAACTAGTTAGTATATTTTTATTTACTATATTTATATCATGCTATTCTATAGGCACGTCTTTGATTTACATTAACTCAAGTTTTACAACAAATATTCTCAAAATAAATGAGACAAAATATTCACTATTACTCCAAGCACATTTAAAGGACCGACTGAAGTACACATACTTAGGTGTGCATAGAAAAATGTTTTATTCTGTTTTCTTTCATTGATCAAAGGGCTCTAGTGGTTATTCATAACTTCTGTAAGAAGGCCCACTTACATGGCAGTGCAAAGCTGGCTTTGATCTCAAAAAGTTACATAGGGTCAGATCTAATTATTTTTTAAATGGGAAGCCACTGAGACATTTTAGGGCTGTAGGATAAATTGAGAAGTCAAAAAAGTAACTCAGATGCTGGCTGGACAGAAAACTCATAAAACTGCTTCTGTATGGCTCCAAGAAAACCACATCAATGCATTCACATTAGTTGAGCTAGACTTGAAGTAGATGTGGCAACGAGTTCTGTATGCTCTGAGTACAGGTAGTCCTCGACTTACAACAGTTCGTTTAGTGATGGTTCAAAGTTACAGTGGCGCTGAAAAAAGTATTATAGGACTGTTTTTTCAGTTATGACCTTTAAATCATGATAATTTGATCAAAATTGTTAACTATTTCATCTTTATGACGGTTGCTGTGCCCCAAGGTCATGCGATCCCTTTGGATTGATTAATGGGGTCTCTTCAACTTTACTGAACAATGAGAGCCTTCATTCTGTGCTATATATATATATATATATATATATGTATGTATGTATGTATGTATGTATGTATGTATGTATGTATGTATGTATGTATAATGTACTAAGAGCTCCAGCTGTTTTTTTTCCACTTATAGTCAAAACATCCATAATAAAAAGTATCCTGCCTTAGAAAATATTTGGTTGTGGGAAAAGAGAGATAGCGCTATGCATTTATTTCCATATACAGCATTGGCAGGAAGAATTCCATGCATACATAATGAGTCAGAGAACCAACAAAAAGAATGTGCAATAAGATACTGGATAACTACCAGTACCAACAGTGGTGAAATCTAAAATTTGTTACTACCAGTTCTGTGGGCGTGGCTTTGTGGGGGGGAGAATGTGACTGGGTGGGCGTGGCCATTTTTTTTTTTACTTTTAAAAGCATTTTTTCTACAACCTCTTTGGCGAAGAGGTTGTAAAAAATGCTTTCAAAAGCCTCTGACAATCCCAGCTGAGTTGCCTGATCGGCAGAGGCTTTTTTTCTTTTAAAAGCCTCTGACGATCCAAGCTGAGTTGCCTGATCAGCAGAGACTTTTTTTCTTTTAAAAGCCTTTGATCCCAGCTGAGCTGCCCGATCATCAAAGGCTTTTTTTTTTACTTTTAAAAGTATTTTTTCGGCGGAAGAGGTTGTAGAAAAAATGCTTTTAAAAGTAAAAAAAAAGCCTCTGATGATTGTGCGGTTCAGCTGGGCATGGGGGGGAGGGGAGGGATTTTTGCTACTGGTTCTCCAAACCACCCGACTCTATTGCTACCGGATCCAGTGATATGGTCCAAACCGGGAGCATTTCACCCCTGAGTACCAACAAGCAAATGGATTCACTTAATAGCTGTGACACGCAATGTCATAAAATGGGGCAAAACTCATTTAACAAATGTTTCACTGGCTCACTGACTTGTGGTCGTAAATCGAGGACTACCTGCACAGGCACTTCCTTGCTGCTCAGTTACATGAAATCAAGGCAGGCTTTAATATTATCCAAAAAATGTGACCATCCAATAGCCGGCACAGGCTGTTTGGAAAGAGACTTCAGCAATAAGCAGCGGACCAGGTCTACGTCCTTGTTTTGTTTTTTTACCTTTTGCCGCGATGCTGGCTGATTGAAACGTCGCCAACGATAAAGCTCAGGACGGGATCGCACGACCGCCATTGAAAAAGCCCGAAGGAGACCCCTCGATTTCCTTTCCACCTCGCACTGTTCGAACTCCTTTCCTTAAAGCCGGACCGACAACCGACGCAGAAGGCAAAGCACCCCAAACGGGTCCGTTTCCCTCGCTCGAGTGGAGAGCGGCGTCCCTAAGCTTTGTCATGGCAACATTTCCGCCAATTAGTGGGCGCGTCTCTCCCTCTTTCCTATCAAACCCGCGCCGTCGACTTTTTATGACGTACATATTCTTCATTGGAGAACCGGCGTTACGAAAAAATCAAAAGCCGTAACGGAAACGGCGTGTTATTGTGTGCGGGGATGTGTAAGTGTAATTGCGCGTGGTTCAATTGCTATTTACGCTCTAGGCCAGAGGTCTTCAAACTTGGCAGCTTTAAGACTTGTGGACTTCAATTCCCAGAATTCTCCAGCCAGCTATGCTGGCTGGAGAATTCTGGGAGTTGAAGTCCATAAGTCTTAAAGCTGCCAAGTTTGAAGACCTCTGCTCAAGGCCAAAAGCAGGTACCGGATCGTGGAATTCCGGTGCTTGCTAGTTTCGTCTCCTACTTTTTTTTTTAAATATAGTCTAGGACTAGATACTTCCCCCCCCATCCCCACCCCCTAAAAAAAACCCCCTTTGCCTCCCGTTGCATCGTAATGATGGCTTCTATATCTCTCACCGCGCTGATTCTGGAGACGTTTCGTTTCCTACCTCACGTTTGGAGCTATATGGAGATTCTCTCAGTCATCGGTCACGGTTGCCCCAAAGGTGCTTTTTCGAAAGGCAACTGAACTTACTTTTTTTTTCCCTTGAAAACGTTTCGCTTCTAATCCAAGAAGTTTCTTCAGTTCTGAACAAAGTCCAGTTGCCTTTTGAAGAAAGCACATTTGGAGGGCATTGGATTGGGTTTTCTGTACATTACAAACGAAATACGCTTAAAAAAAAAGTTTCAAATGTATACTGGCTTTACTATTGCAATTTGGAATGCCGCTGATACAGAGAAAAGTATCAAGCCTTTTTAAGATTTAATTAAAAACTTTTTTCATTTAATGGAATTAAAATTGTGGTGGGTGGGAGTGTGTTTGGGGATTATGTGTGTTGGATCTGGTCTTTGGGTGTTAAGTGAATTTCGTTGTATGGGTATACTGTGTATACACATACAATGACAATAAAGTTTATTATTTATTATTATTTATTAAAACATTCAGGATTATGTGGATTTCCAAATTTGGGTTGCAAAACCCAACCACCACAAGATGTTAATATAAAGAAACAAGAAAATATACCCCTTGCCCCCCCCTTTAGTGCTGATATAGACTTTTGCATGAAACCCAGATTTAGTAGCCGTGCCACAGAGTGTTATTCCAGTTCAGTACCGGTGTTATAAATATTTATTGTTTTCTAGTCCTTATAAGTGGCATATTTTGGTGTATAAAGTAAGGTAACCTGATGTCTTTACATATTTTGGACTCTACTTCATGTAGTCCATTCACCTTGGTGCTTATGAGAGTTGAAAACAAAACTTGTGCATCGTAATTCATTGCTTTTATTTGAATGCAGGGAAAATAGTAATGTCCTCCATGATACAAAATGTCATGGAATATCAGTGTAAGATAAATAATACATCATGACCATTACACTTAGAGAAAACTGATTCAAGATGACTAAGGGCTCTGCTTATTGATCATTTGCTGTTGTCTCAGGTGTGTTGATGTGAAGATGAAATTAAATCTCTGCAAAATAGTTGATGGCTGTCGCCTTGGGACACTGACAAATCTCGGCAAGAAAGCGGTTCAGTCGATGGAAATTCCAGGGTGTCTGCTTTATACCAAAATGGGAACAGCACCACACCTTACCCATGATACACTACACAGTGTTCAAGGTGTTCCTGTGGTTGCCCAGATTTCACTTACAACACTGTGAGTGCAATTTCAGCCTTTGTAGGTAAAATAGATGAGGCAAATGCAGACTTGGATCTGATTTCTTTTGAGATATGTGTATGTTTTATATATGTATGTATGTATGTATGTATGTATGTATGTATGTATACGTATGTAGGTATAATTTTTGCATTCCTGATAGAATTACATTCAAATACTGCTGTCCTATTTGTGCAAATCTAGACCCCTTTAATTTCAACAGGATTCATTCTCAAAATTCTTTTTCTTTGCTCTAGGATTACAGCCTGAGATTTCAATGGTGGTTTTATATGCTAGCATTAAATTGCATAATCGTTTAGTTTGCTGATCATGTTTATCAACATTAGTAATTTAAGAGGAAGCTGTTTTGCACTTTGAGAAATTTTTTGCATTATGATTCCTCAACTATATTAGATTCAAAATATTTGTTGGATAGTGAGAAACTATAGGGGACTCCCTTTGTGGTTAGAATCACTCTGGGGTCAATGGCTAAACAGCTATCACTTAGTGAATTCATACACTGAGATGTTTTTCAAGCTGCATTATTTACATATTGTGCATTAATGTCTAAAATGCATGAATTATATAGTTGTCTAACATATTTCTGTTTGGATGCAGAACAGATCTTCAAGAGGTCTTGCAGGAATATAAAGAAGGAATTGGAAAATTCATAGGTAAAAGTATAGGGGTGGCTTTTCATCATTAGTCTCGTCTGGACTATTGTAATGCTCTCTACATGGGGCTCTCCTTGAGGTGCACTCGGAGGCTCCAACTGGCGCAGAGTACGGCCGTGCGGGTGGTTATGGGAGCAACGTGGAGCTCCCATGTAACACCTCTCCTGCGCGAGCTGCACTGGCTCCCGATGGTCTTCCGAGTGCGCTTCAAGGTTCTGGTTACCACCTTTAAAGCGCTCCATGGCTTAGGACCTGGTTATCTACGAGACCGCCTGCTACCACCAATAGCCTCCCACCGGCCAATATGCTCCCATAGAGAGGGGCTCCTCCGGGTGCCGTCGGCCAAACAATGTCGACTGGCGGCCCCTAGGGGGAGAGCCTTCTCTGTAGGGGCACCTACGATCTGGAATGAGCTCCCCCCGGAGATACGGAGGATCCCTGATCTGTGCACGTTCCGTCGCGCGCTTAAAACGTTTTTATTTCATCAAGCTGGCCTGGCCTAAATCTTCCCCCTTTTAAAATTTTAAAATTTAAATTTTAAACACTAATTTTAATTTGTTTAATTATGGGATATTTTTAAAATTTAGCCAAATTGTTTAATCTGTTTTAATCTATTTTAAATTTCGTATCTCTGTGTTTTATCTTTTGGCTGTTCACCGCCCTGAGTCCTTCGGGAGAAGGGCGGTATAGAAATTTAATAAAATAAATAAATTAATTAATTAATGAAGCATGTTAAAGTATGTGTTATAGCATCTAAAATTATTTGGAATAGAGTGTTATCCATATGTTACTAAAACTCTTATGTCTCTAACCTTTAACTGGCAAAGAGGTGCATCATAGGGCAAACATTTGTCAACAAAGTACCTCCAATGAGCTAACTTACAGAATGCCAGGACCCAATTCTCCCAAAGGAATGAAATTTGGGGATGTTGTGACTGGTTCAGTGCTGCCGGGCTACTGTGTGATCCTGATTTTCACCAATTTTGTGATAATTTTCAGGCCACCTATCTGCCTCCTGGTGAGAGATGGAAGGAGGAAGAACAGGGGAGAAAGCAAAAAAATATGTGTGAGCAGGAATTCATTGTCCCCCTTATTCTCCAGCCCCCATGATGGGAATAATAACAAATGTGGAGTCCTTGCTGCTGTCTCAGCTTGATTGTTCAGAGAGCATTAAGAACTCCACAGTTCAACTCTTAAGCTATGTATATTCTCCTTTATTGGCAATAGTAAATTTTTTGCATTTTAACTAATTGAAAGAAAGTCGGTAAGAAATTTTGATGTTTTCTTGCAACGCTGTTAGTTGACGTTACAAAAGAAACGTATGTTTTTTGTCTAAGTGAAATCAATAAATGTGATACTCCCATTTGACAGTTTAGGGAGCTGAATCCCTGGAAATAGAATTAATTCTCTTTTTGGGTGACCCCAATAAGGCATGCTTTTGGCAACCTTGTTTACTAATTTCTGATCAGTTATGATCCAGGAGGTATGCTTTTGAATTTAAATAAGGATAAGGTGGATAAAGACATGTTCCATTTGAAATTACAGGATAGAGATGGCATTGGTGATTGACTTTTGCTTGTTGCAAAGGATGTTGATGAAATGACTTAGGATTTATTTGGAATACGTTTTACATGTTTTTATTGTAATCTGTATGATGTTTCAAACCTAGAGTCCTCTCCATTTTTATTATTACATTTTAAATCCTTAAATCCTATACCAGTTATATCATACAACAGTCTAGCCATTCTGTGCATCTGATGAAGTGAGCTTTAGCTCCAGAAAACATACACTCTTTAAATTAAAAAAAAAGTTTGATAAGTTGGTATCAGATTCCTTCTGATTTTTTGCTACCAGAAACTGACAATGTAGATCTTTCTCCTACATTATCCTGAAAAGTAACTAGAAATGCTTAGTGGAATGTTATAATTTTTGGAGACTTCGCTATTAATAGTTTAAGTGATACAGCATTATGATAAAAAATTCATTGTCTCTATATTAAAGATAACATTTTATTTTGGATTTAGGTATGCCAGAATCAATATTATATTGTTCCCTTCAAGACCCTGCTGTTTGTTCCCCTCATGGCTACAACAGCAAGAAGGTATAGTAAACTGGAGTATTTTCGTGACTTTACAGTCTTGGCTATTCACTTCCCTCCCTACTATTTTTTAAGGAATGATAATAATAGTGGCAGCAACTGAAGATTCTTGCATAGCCAGATGGAAAACAAATAGAAGAATGGAATTAATTCATAGTGAATAAAATCATTTTTTTTCTTTTTTTAATTTCTGATAGGCTGTATCTATATGGAACAATAGAGGACGGAAAGAACTCACAGCATCAAAGTTCATGGACATCCAAAAGGCTATCCAGCCAGACTGGTTCCAGTGTTTAGCAGATGGAGACACTATTTCAGGAGACATATCCAGAAAGAAAGCCAGGAAATCTGTAGATCGATCATTGTGCTTTTTGGATGAATGTCTACAGCTGCAAGAAAATTCTCCAGTAAGAGTTAACTCTTTTTGAGGTGTATATACACATTGCAGTTACTTGTTAAGTTTTAGATATTTTGGTAAACACAGCTTGCAGAATTCCTGCATTGTTTCTGACAACTATATTATATAATCGATAGAACACTGTCTTTTTCTTTCTTTCTGTTTTCTTTTTGTTGTATAGAACTAAGTATAATGATTCATCCCCCTTGTATTATTAATTTAATTTTATATTGATAAACCAAATTATTTTAGGGCCATGTCGTTGTGCACTCTTCCACAAACCCCTTTGAAAAAATACGATAGCACTCTAATTGGAGCCGTTCCAGTTTCATTGTGTCAGAATCTGTGAATAGCATTTTATTTAAAATGTTTATATCTTGTATTTATAAAGCCCTTGAAGCTTGGAATAAGTATTCAAAATAATAATACCAAATAGATTTCATATGGAGTCTATATCTTTGTGTTAGCAGAAAGGCCAATTTTAATGAAAAAGTAATTTTAATGTATGTATTGAGAAATTAGTAACATACACTGTCTTTTCTTTCCAAAACAAAAATTGCTCTTGTATTAATCATTTGGTCTTTAAAAAAAAATAGTTTAAACTTCAGGTAGCAAAAATAATGCCCAGAAGCAGGGTGGATTTGACTTAAATCAACTCTATTTAAATCATAATTTTTAAAGACCAACTGTCATCTCTGTCCCACAGCGATGCATTGACATTCACAATATTGAAGAATATACAGCCTCATGCTACATAACTAAGCTCCATTTCATGCTGAATAAACTAAATTATTAATGTATCTTAAATAGAAAACTATCTTTAGATAGATTTTTACTCCAAAAGCATTTTATTAAAATAAATTTAATAAAAATAAATAAAATCTGATTTAAATAAAAAAATCTGATTTTTAAATTTTTTTTTAAAAAAGCCATCAATTTTTATCCACCCTGCCAAGAGGTCTTTTATAAAGAAGTGGCAATCTGCTAGGAAAAATAGTTAAGCAATAGTTAAGATATTCTTAACCAGAGCCATGATTCATAGGGCTATGAATCATACATGTATTTAAAGTATTGCCTAAGATCATAATATGGGATGGAAGAAAAAATTAATGTGAGCTTATTTTAAGTTTTATGTTCTTTGCTCACCCTATACTTTTTGTTTGATATCACTAGTGCAACAATCTGCAGGAAAGCAGACTACTTTCCGTTCCAACTCTGTCCAACATCTGTTGAACCAAAGGACGTATTCATATTTTACATATATATGACTTTCTTTCATACCAGGAATTGAAACAGAGTTTGATGATTGGGGTTATCGAAGGTGGAGATGTGTTGGAGGAAAGACTAAGATCAGCCAGGGAGACTGCCAAAAGACCGGTGGCTGGATTTCTTTTGGATGCCTTTCAAGGAAATACCATGACTAAAGAGACTAAATTGGAGCTCTTAACCTCAGTTACAGCTGAGCTGCCAGAAGATAAACCAAGGTCAGAGCTAAATGGGATTTTTATTTAAGCATATCTAATGTAGCACTTGGGTGGATTTTCACAAACACAGAAAACTTTTGAATGTATGATGAGACATTGTGTTAGGTGGTATTACAAAAGTAGATTTTAGTAACTTAAGACAGGCTCGAAAATTCTCAGCTGATGTTTGCTGCATGAACTGCCCCACTCCTTTGTTTTATTGCCCAGAGCACCCACAATTATGCAAGGAAGTAATAAAATGGCCATTTTTTAAAAAGCAATTTGGGGATATTTTAAAACTTATGTTGTGTCATTCATTCAATTACATTCAAAGTCAGGGGGAAAAGGTTGGAATTTGTGATCCCATTAAGTTTGAAATTATTGCCAACTCAATTAATACTGACACATACAATTATAATACACATTATTTTTCTTAATTCATTTAGCACCATAAAATTATCATTTTGAAAAAAATATCAATGTCAAATGTTACTAGTATATTTCAACTATTGTACTACTGCTTCAAATTGACAACGTAGCCTCAATCAAAAACTCATGCTGTGAATTGCAGATCTTTATTTTATGAAGCCATCTGCAAACAACCATGTTTAGTAAAGAATGTTGCCAACTGAAGCTCTGAATATTTTTTGATTTGATTTGATTTATACACTGCCTGATTCCAAAATGATTCTACATAGTACACAATATCAAATAAATAACAAGACAAAAAACAATACAATAAAAATAAACAAGGTAACATTTGATCACTCAAAACATTGTATATACAAAGACTCAACCAACAAATGGAACCCATCCCCCCCCCCTCTATCTGGCGTATACAACATGGGAAAACAACATGCTTTCCAGTGAGTATGTGTTTTTGCATGGAAAGAACAAGAATTGGTTTCTTTTGGAAGGAGACCATTATAATTCCAAAGAGTTGTCTAATTCAGCTTCTAATCTTATTGCCAATGTTCCTTAAGAAAATCCAATTCTCTTTTACTTTCACCAAAAAGTTTCAAAAATATTTTATATTGAATAATAATACATTTTGCCTTCCTCATGATAAACAGGTCATTTTTACAATAATTATCATCTTCTGTCTCTTAGATTGAGATAAAGATATGTATTGTACAAATAATAGGGGATAACAGTATGTCAGTCAAATTTTGCAGGCCTCACTCTATTTTTAATAAGTATCTTAGATTGCTATTAGAAAAGTTGCATTTAAGGAACTACAAATGTTAATGAATTGTGTAATAGTTTTGTTAATAGAATGTAATTATCTTATTCAGCAAGCTTAAAAACTAGTTTATATAGTTGTCAGCACATTACTCCTGTGGAGAGCAAAATTGCTATTCCTTTACCTTTCCAGTCTTATCAGACGTGCCAAATGAATTTAGAGTCTGGCATCGTTAATAACAGTGCAAGAAGCTTGGTAAAGCCAGCTACATTTTCAAGCCCCAAGGAGACTTTTATGTATGCTGTTGGTAAAACATTGTTTCCTTTGTATTTCAAAACATTATTTTGATCACAGCAAGCTTAGGTTAAGTTAGAAATTCTGAAAGTCAAATTTGCAAATACTAGTGCTGTGATTTATCCTTTTTCTTTGGTTTGGTTTTCCATTACAACAAGAGAATTCTAAAAAGTGAGTTCATTGTATAGTTGTGCGTAGGGTTTTGTTGTTGTTGTTTTTGTTTGCCTTCAACCAAACTTGACTCGGGATAATGATATGGACAAGTCTAGTCAACATATCAAAAGTGGTTTGCCTTTGGCTTGTTTTAAGGCTACTAGAGGATGAATGGTATAAAGTCCCTTGGTTAGTTTCCATGCCAAAGCAAGACTAGAACTTAAAGTTTCCTTGCTTCAAGTCCAATACATTAGTCATTAAATCAAATGAACTTTCAGGTATATTTTTATGCTCAGTTTTGAGAAGCTCTGTATATTACAATACCATCATTACATACTGTATAGTTCTGTGGTGGTGTAATAATGCCAGGAGCCCAGTGCAGCTTTCCGTCCTTTCTGAATGGTACAGAGGATTCTGGCAGTGCAATAATATCATTAAAATACTCTCTGAAAGTTGGTTGAATTTTGTCTCCATTTATTTTGGAAAAGTAACCCCACTACCAAGAATCTGAGGATACTGGAATCTGCAACTGGAATGTTTAGGGCCACATTACACACATAAGTATGATATATCCTTCAGAGTTTTAGGCAATGAGAGTGTTCCATTTTCAATTTTCTTTCACTGTTAAGGGAACATATATCATGAATCAGCAATAGACATAAACTAACATGTTTAAGAAATTAAAAGTTGGAAATTAAAAAATGGTTGTTACAATTTCATTACTTGTTCCAGTGTGCCACTAAAATAGTTACTGTCATTGGTCAAATATAATGTCCATTGGGATGCAAGGCAATTTGATATTCATTGGGGAATTTTGAAGTTCTTAGAAACAGAAAATAGTTATATTGTATCTTCCCTCTTACATTGTAGAGAAAGTTTCGATTAAATCTAGTGAATTCAGCTACTATTCTCAAGATGTTCAAGATATGGTTGGTAACTTACAGATCCTTATAGCAGTGTCTCCCACCCCCAAATTAAGTGCCCTTCAGATGATTCCCTAGTGCCGCGTAATGGGGTGAGCTCTCGTTACTTCTTCCAGCTTCTACCAACCTAGCAGTTCGAAAGCATGTAAAAATGCAAGTAGAAAAATAGGGACCACTTTTGATATAAGTAGATGCATGTGTTCCGTGTGCCTTTGGCGTTTAATCATGCCGGCCACATGACCATGGAGACATCTTCAGACAGCACTGGCTCTTCGGCTTTGTAATGGAGATGAGCACCGCCCCCTAGAGTCGGGAACGACTAGCAGATATGTGCGAGGGGAATCTTTACCTTTACAGAAGATTCCCAGAATTTCCATCCAGTCTTCCTTTCTGTAGCCAGATTTGGAAGAAGTACACTTCTGGAGGCTGTCCATTTTGAGAGAATGCTTTATACACAACATATACAACAAGGAGCAACTGTCACATAAATTACTTCATAATGTAGGATAGGAAGTTAGCCTTTGAGGTTTTTCTCATCTACTTCTGAATTTTGGAGCATGTTTGTTTTGGAATTCTGATAAATCAGAGTATGTGAATCCCAAGGTATTTAGAGAGGATGTAAGGCCTTTCACTTCTCTCAGGCTTTATAAGTCATGCCTCACCTATTACTCAGAAACTTTGTTGGTTGTTTGGGACTAGTTATAAATATCTACTTGACTTCATTATTAGACATAATTACTGTAAGTATAACTCAGAACTTGTAAGTATAACTCCAGAATTTATCAAGGTAAAATGGGAAAGGAGTGTATGAATAGAAGGAGAACAAAATGAATTGCAAAAATATGTATCAAGTATTATTTTAAAATGGCTTTTTTTTCGTCTATTGCAGATTAATCCATGGAATTGGTAAACCAGATGAAGTTCTGGAGTGCATTAAAAGAGGAATAGATATTTTTGACAGTTGTTTTCCTTATCAGGTGACAGAACGACACTGTGCTTTGTCCTTCAGTTATGATTATCAACTGAATCCTGAATCAGCAGGTATTGGTCTTGATAATCTTGTCTGCATGGGGATATTTGAATAAAATATTGGTAATGTGAGTTTTAAAATTCTTAAGATTCCAATGTGTATGCTTATTATGTTTAACATCCTTCTGAGAATGTTCTAATTATGTTGTTAATCATGTTCTCTTTTTTGTTCTATTGCACTGTAAACAAAACTTTACTTGTTATACTAGAAGTACAACTTCCAATTGAGGTTTAAGATTATAGTTAAGACCACTATTATTTATAGTAAAACATCAGTTTAGCAGATCTCAGAAAAGCAGATTTACATTCAGAGAACTAAAGTTCTACAACAGTTTACACAGTTACTGTAATAATTTCATTGTATAAATGATATAAGTAGATGCATGTGATCTAATTTCCATAATTTTGGTAAAGAGATTTTGGAATTGATGTAAATCATCCCAGTGACTTCATATTTGATATCTCTTTGAATGATAGGATCTCTTCCCCCCCCCATTCATTTACTAAAACAAGGTTTTGCTGATGTTTAGCATCAGCAATTAGAACTCCATATGGTTGAAGAAACCAACATACTTTTAAGGACTTTTTTTTTTTTGACTTTGTGCTCCTGATGCTTTTTCTTAAAAAACAAACAAACAAACCTTATATGTTAATCAGAGTTATATGTGCATAATTTGTTGTTTTGTTCTTTGGCCTTCAAACCTGAAATATATAGGTTGATAAAGAAAATTCAAGGACTGTACTTTTTAAAAATGTAAATATTTTCCAAAAACAGTGAAGTTGCTGTCATTCATTGTTGAAGAGTGAAAAAAAGCAGTGGAGATCTTAATGGCTGTCGATTTTCATGCCTTGACAGCTCAGATCTTTTATATTTTTTATCACCATTAGTGAGCTGTTGGACAGTATTACTTGGTCTGTTGTGTGGATGTTTGGGTGGTTTAGGGGTGGGGAATTGTGGTGGGTGGGAGTGTGTTTGGGGATTGTTATGTGTGTTGGGTCTTTGGGTGTTAAGTGAATTTTGTTGTATGTGTATACTGTGTATACACGTACAATGACAATAAAGTTATTATTATTATTATTATTATTATTATTATTATTATTATTATTATTATTATCATCACCTTTTTTAGAAGCTTCTCACAATTTAATAAGTCATACAGATTCTACAGTAAAGTGCAAATATTAAATGATCTATTATTTTGCCCACCATTATAAGACAAGCTGTCAAGTCTTCGTGCATTTAGTAAAGTATATACAAACACATAATCTAGTTGTAGAATACTCAAAAAATGAATAGGATTTCTGTGTATTTTATATCTTTTCTCCTGATCGTGATTATGAAAGATTCATCCTGATAGACATTTACAGTTGGAAAATAAAAAGCTTTCCTTTTTAAGATTATATAACTGCCTTGATGGCTCAGCCTCAACTTTCTGATTAAAATGTAAGAGTAAATTGATAGAACATGAATCTGTTTTAATTGAAAATAAGTACAACGCCACATTGCATTTAATACAATTTGGTTAGAATGTTGTATTGCTTATTTTGTGTGGATGGATAGTTATAAAACAATGAGAAATGTAGCCATTTACATTTTAAGCTTATAACATTAGATTGCCTCCCTTTCCCCTATTTTACTGCCTTGTAAGTATCAAAACTATTTGATTGTATATTTTGTGACAACTAGTTAAATATTTTAAATAGTGCCATAGCCTTTAAGTATGAACTTCTCCTTTATTGCAGATATAAAAGAAGATGGAAAAACAGAGGTGAGGAAAGATGATGAAAAAACAAAAGATGAAACATGCAGTGAAGCTCAAGAAAAGACTTCATTTGAAATACATTTGAGAGAAATAAAGTATGTTGGTTTTTGATTACTTAAAATTCCAGTTTTTCCTATGTGTAGGTCCCGAGTAATATTATTGTGGTCTTTGCATTAATTGGGAAATAAGTTCTCCTGAACATTGTTGGCCTAATTTTATAAACAGGTGACTGCTTAATATTCCCCACTCCCACCTTTTTTTTGCCATCTTGAGAACTACTTCCGACCACAGTTGCTGAAAATTAATATTGTGGTTGCTTACGAATTTCACTCAAAAAATGAAGCTTTAGCCCTAACAGAGGCTTAGCATTTGAAAAGAAAAATTCTCAATTTTTTTCTCTGAGAAAACCTTAGCTCTTCAAATTTTTCATGAACTGACACATCACATGGAAACCCTTGTCATCAAAAGGGTCCTTTTTTATGCTATACTTACTTATCTGAAAACAAGTCCCATTGAATTTAAAGAAACTGTTGAGTCATTTTGCAGATGAATTTACTGAGTCAAGTCATGGCTAATCAATAATTCTGCAGAATGCCACTGATCATTCATTCCTAGTTGCTATTGAATAAGTATTCTGTCTCCTATTTGCTACTAAATACTGTTGATGCTTTTAAAACTAAGTATGTTTGAGCCAAGGAAAAATTAGATCACAGCCTTTAAAAAAATTTTTTTTTCGTGGCTTGCTTTAGACATTCGCGGGGGATGATCTTATAGTTAGGACCATTCATGAAACCTTAACTGTCCTATTATATGATGTGTTGAGCTGTATAATTTTATGAGGTTAATAGGATTCCTAGATATCTTCATCATGTTGTTTTTGCAACTATGTATTTAACAGTCTGGTTACATGGATCTCTTATAATGTTAAAAATATAATAGAGCTCTCTCAGTGTTTTTTCTCCACATAAGTGACATTATTTAGATGACAATAGGGTCATACTTGCTGGATCTGTCTTGTTACTTGTCTCCCACTACCTTGGTCCTGCTCTAATCATGTCATGTATTAAAAAAAGTTCTTAAAAAAAACCCAACATGTCAAATTTGTAGAGGCAGTTCCCCATATTAAACATTCCTTTTCATACTTTTTCTATGCAGGTTGGACCACTGGGAAATACAATAGAATAATATAATCATTATACAAAAAAAGTCTGAATAAAAGTAGAAAAGTACAGAGAACAACAATAATTCATACCGAAAAGAATGTGCTAAAATCTTTCATTGTGAGGGTTGTGGCAGCACATTCTGGTTGGGGTTCTCTTGATTTATAAGTCCTTTGTCAACTGATCTAGTATCAGTTGTTAATTTGAACCACAGTATTGCAGCACATATGTTAGCATGTCTTTAGATTGTAAACTCCTTAAACTGATGACCTGTTCTGACATTTTTGTAAAGTACCATGTATACAGATAATGGCATATAATGATGATAATATCAGTGATCATTAAGTGTTCATGCTGTGTTCAGCAATTAGGTTATAGTTAGTTTTTAGAGTTACTCCACTGGATCCAAAGTGTAACTTTAGCTGCATGGATGATTTACTTCTTATCCATGAATGTGCTTTTCTCTTTTAGGTACCAGGATGATTTTAATCCTTTAGTAAATGGATGCTCATGCTACTGCTGTCAAAACCACAGTCGTGCCTATATTCATCACCTCGTCATGACCAAAGAGCTGCTGGCTTATGTACTTCTTATGATGCATAACTTTCAGCATTACTTTAGCTTCTTTTCTTCTATCCGAAATGCTTTGAAAGAAGATAAGTTGGATCAGTTAAGCAAGATTATCAGCAGACAAGCCCTCTGAGGTCAGATATGTAAAAAAGCAGATTCCCCAACCTGGCTTCCCCTTCTGGATCAAGATTATGGAGAAGAGCTGTTATACCATGAGGGTAGATACCCATGATAAAAGAAAATCCATATTTTGCCTGCTCATATCTCATATCTGAGTATAATTTTCTAAGTCCTTATAATTTTAGGAAAGATTGACATTTTCCCCCCAGAGATATTAATCTTTGAAAAAGATAAAAATAAGGATATTCTCTAGAAGAATTCACATACTTTTCTGAATTGTATTAACTTATGGACATTTGAACTGCAATGAGAAGAAAAGAACTAATCGGAACAATGGGAAAACAATTCTGCATCTATTTGAGATACAGGTGTACTACTATTGTATATTAATTTTTTATTATTATTTTTAAATATATCAGGAAGAGGTGACATATAGTAGCTAAAAATCATAGGAAAAATAGTTCCTGTTATAAATTATGTCTCACTTGGACACTTCTGATGGTGGAAAGGTTTTAAAATAATGCATTCCTTAAAGTCCTCTGTGTTCTTGTTAGATAGAGAGCTTTTTTCATACGTTGTAAGCTGCTTGTTAGAGACCCTGATTTTAATAATATCAAAAGATAGCTGTTTTATCTCGAGGGTATGGATTGCACTCTTTCAACAATATCCTTTTACGATAATGTTTTGGGAGGGGGATGCATAAGGTTTTGATAGTAAAAGCAAATACAACAAATTATGTATTTCAGGTTTCTTTAGATTATTTGGTTCAACTTTCTTTTCTACTGGATTTTTATACTATATTTGAATGTCAAAAAGTTTTTATATTATTAAATTTATTATACTGCATGGGGAACTTTAATAAAACCCTTAAATTTTTGTATTATATCTGGGAAATGCAGTAAGGCATGAGGGAGAGAAAGAGGGAGGGGCTCATAAAATAGAGAAAAACTGTGAGAGTGGGAAGACCAGGCAAGATGATCCTGCAAAAAGCCAATAACTGGATAGATAGACTGAATTTGTCAAGAACAAATCTTAATGGACTTACCTTATCTCATGTTTTGATTGGGTATTCAAACATGTAACACCACTACAGTGTGAGCTGCATTGGTTACCTGTGTTTCCAGATGCAATTCAAGATTCTGTTTGTTATCTTTAAAGCTCTTCAGGCTTGGGACCAGATTACTTAAAACCATCTTCTTGCAGTGATTTCTACCTGTCCAAATTTGTCTGATAGGTTGAGCATGCTAAAGGTCCTGTCAGCCAAGGAATGTTGGCTGGCAGGGACTAGGAGAAAACTTTTCTTGCCGTAGTCCCTACCCTCTGGAACATTCTCCCTTCAGTTAAGGATGGTCACTGCAGAGAAGTACCACCAAATGTATTTCCTTAATAGATGAAACTCTAAAGATCAGGGGTGTCAAACTCAATTTTATTGAGAGTTGCATCAGGGTTGTTTGACCTTGCTGGGGCCAGGGTGGGCATGGCCAGCTTGATGTTACTCGTGTCAGGGGCGCCTGTAGTGGCCCAAGCGCTCTGCCAGTGAAAAGGGGCTCCCGAGCTCCATTTTCAGCCGTGATGGCCTCCTGCAGCCCTATGCCAGCAAAATTGGAGCTGGGGGGGGGGTTCGTGCACAGCCCCCCCCAGCTCCATTTTCGCTGGCAGAGGCACCGTGGGCCGGTCCTTCGCTGTTTCCAGGGTGGCCTTGCAGGCCAGATTTAAACAACCTGCTGGCCGGATGCAGTCCGCAGGCCTTGAGTTTGACACCCCTTACTATAGATGATGAGTCAAATAGAGGTAACTGGGGAGAGGTAGTCCTTTAAATAACTTGGTTTCAACCATGTTGGGCTTTAAAGTTCAATTACACCCAGAAGCAAATCAGCAATCAGCGCAGCTCCTGTAAAAGGTGACAGGTACACAGATTTCACTTGCACAAAATTGTGTGGACCACTGTTTTGAGCCAACTAAAACTACCAGGTACTCTTCAAAGGTAGTCCCATGTAGAGCTCATTGCAATAGTCCAAAGGAGAGGTGACCAGGGCACAAGTGACTTTGAGAAGGGCCTGGTGATGAATGGATATAACTGGGACACAATACACAGTTGTGCAAAGGCTCTCCTGACCATTACTGCCACCAGTAGTTGTAAGTCCTGGAGAACCCCCAGGTTTTGAACCAGGTGTCTGGGGTACTGCTGTCCAGTCCAGAAGATGGCAATACTTCAAGAACCAAGGAACCCTGCATCTAATACTATTCCATCTTGCCAGGGCTCAATTTTAACTTGTTGCTCCTCATTCAGACCTCAACACCCTCCAGGCTCCAAGAGAGGACAGTTACAGCATTGGAGTTAGTTGTTCTGGAAATTTCAGCAATGCAACTACAGAAAAACCTACTCAGTGGAAAAGACACAACATCCCCAATCACAGCTTTCATGTGAAATGACAGTACGTCTAAAACGATATCTAGGTCTCATTTCTAAGCTTGACTAAGCTTTGGAAAATCATGTAGTTGTTAATTTGTACAATAAGTAATCTATACATGCAAATGGTTTTAATTTTTTTACTGATTTCACTGCTGATATTTTTATAGTGCCTGTCTCCATGTATATGATTTCCAGAGTGATCTTTGTTAACATCTCATAACAAAAAGAAAAAAGAAAAAAAGATTACGGTTACCTCCCCTCACAAATGTTAGAAAATAATGAGAATCCTTTCTGTGAGAAATTTATTTTTATTTATTTATTTATTAAATGTATATTGCCGCCTATTCGCCATGGTGACTCAAGGCGGCTTACACAATATAAAACTACAGTTAAAACAGTAAAACTAATTCAAAAATCAAATAAATTAATATAATAAAATCACCTCCCACCCCAGCAACAGCAGATCACACGAGCCATTTAATGGCTCCCGCTCTGGGTTCTCCAGGCCCGCTGGCAGAACTAGGTCTTCAGCGCCTTCCAGAAGAGTATTAGAGTGGGGGCCATTCTAATCTCTGGGGGAATGATGTTCCAGAGAGGGTGCCACCACGAGAAGGCCGTTCTTCTGGGTCCCATCAGGTGTATCTCCCTCGGGGATGGGATCCGCAACATTCCCTGCCTCCCCGCTCTGATGGGTTGGGTAGATGTGATCGGCAAGAGACAGTCCCTCAGATAACCTGGTCCCAAGCCATGAAGGGCTTTAAAGGAAATGCTACATGGCTGAGGCTATTCAGAAGCTAACAGGTCAGATAACAGGTGTATAAACAATTTTAGGAAAATTAGGTAATAGTATAATATAACCTTAATATAAATTCTGAACAATAGTCCCTGAATCAATAGTCCCTCTCTGGAACTAGTTACCTCCTGAGGTCCGGACTATCCCCACCCTATTGGCCTTCCGAAAAGCGGTGAAGACCTGGCTTTTCCGGCAGGCCTGGGGCCGTTGATCTGGCTCTTGATCTGGCGTGATCCGGCCATGAATGGCGTGAATGAGTTTTTAATGTTTTTAATTTTAAAATGTTTTTTATAATGATTTTTTGAAATGTATTGTGAGCCGCCTTGAGTCTTTGGAGAGGGGCGGCATATAAATTGAATTAATTAAATTAAATTAAATTAAATTAAATTAAATTAAATTAAATTAAATTATATCATCAAGCCACATGAATATTGTTCAACTTCTGGAATTATTTCAGGGAGGATAGTGAGTAAAACAAGCTACTATTCTTCCTGGAAAAGCCACTTGGGACTAATACAAACTACTACTACTAAAAATACTGCACTGATGCAAATTTGATTTAATAGATATTTTATAGTCTGCCATAATGAACTGCATGTTTACAATCAATTCCAATTCTTCAGAATCAAAGCCCTAAACAATGATATTAAATGATAGACACAAAATGACACTAGTAAGATTGCAGAGTAGCCAGCACTTTTATTTATTTTATTTATTTCGAATTTGAGGGAGCTGGGGAAATATTCCAACTATTGAGAACATGTGATACTATGAGAATATATTGAGGTTAAAGACATTCCCATTAATATGCATGCAGCTGGAGATTTGCACATTGCAATGTGCCAACTTCTAATAAATATTTATTTTAAAATTAAAATAATTATTTAAAAAATATCAAGTTGTGGAGCAAATAGTCTGGGGACAAAAGGGAAGACTTCTGAGGCATGGTGGAGGCCTTGGACACTGCTGCCTCCCCACATAAAGTTTGAACATTATATAGTCAATTTTTAGTCAAGGTTTTCAGAGGAATGGCACTACTATATGTAATGGAATTACATATTCCAAAGCTTTTATATTTGAATAACAAACATCGCTGTGTTTACAATTATCAGAACTGATGGAATGTGCACTGTAGTTCTACCAAAGCATCCAAGGAATCTGTGGAGGCTGAATGGATTTAAGAAGCAACAATTTTATGTATGTTCAGTTCTGGATGTACCCAAATTGTAACATAGGATTGTATTGTAAATAAATTATCTAGAAACATCACTGACATTAGTTCGATTTATTTTCTAATAAAATTAATCTTTAAAAGAGTTGTTGGTTGCACAGTCAGCCAGATGTCTAGACTGGATTTGGATTTTTTCCCACCTTGAGTTCTTCCCAGTAACAAGAGAGTTGTTATTTGTTGGTGTTCCATTTCAGAATGTAAGTTGTTCCAAGTAAAGCTGCCTTTTGTAGTAGACTGATTTTGTCAATGTCTTAAGTGTTCAAGTGGTACTCCAGATGTTTTGGGATCACAATACTATTGGTATTGTTTTTGCTTTCTTTTTTCTTTTATTAGATTTATTATAGCTGCCCATCCCATTGGACTCTGAGTGGTTTACAAAATCTAATAGTAAATTAAAACAATAGAAAACATAAAATGAAACAAGACAGCCCAAACTAAAACCAACCATTAAAATGAAACATGATAGCTTCACCATAAACACATTAATTCCAGTCCTAGGGCCAAAGGCAGGTTTTAAGGGCTTTTCAGAACTCCAGGAGGGCACCATTGATGAATATTAGTATATAGACCTTATTTCGTCTGACTTCAACTCATACATTTTTTCAATGTACAGCTACAAATCAAAGATGTTTCAGTGAATAAGTCAGTCATCTGCAAACCTCTTCTTCCTTAGTACCTATTTGCTAGCATGTTATTATTTTCATACAAGAGCGTAAAATACCTTAAATTTTGAAGTATAGATAGTCCTCGATTTACTACTACAACTGAGCCCAAAATTTCTGTTGCTAAGTGTGAGATTTATTAAGTGACTTTTGCCCCATTTTACAACCTTTCTTACCACAGTTTACTAAAGGTTGTTAAGTGATTCACTGTAGTTGTCAAGTTAGTAACAATAGGCAACTATTTGGGACATATTGACCAAATGCATCATTTCCTGGCCTCATGGAGTTTTCTTCTGCAGCTGACCTTCAATTCTTGGAGAAGGTACATTTGGTTTCAAATTGTTTTGGTAAGTCCTGTGTACCCACAATCCAAATCACATTTTACTGTTTGAATTCAATTTTTTTATCTAGTAAATATATTACAAAGGGGACACGGTGGCTCAGTTGCTAAGATGCTGAGCTTGTCGATTGAAAGGTTGGCAGTTCAGTGGTTCGAATCCCTAGTGCTGCGTAACAGGGTGAGCTCCCATTACTTGTCCCAGCTTGGGCAATTTAGCAGTTCAAAAGCAAGTAAAAAATGCAAGTAGAAAAATACGGAGCACCTTTGGTGGGAAGGTAACAGCGTTCCGTGCGCCTTTGATGTTTAGTCATGCTGGCCACATGACCATGGAGATGTCTTCGGACAGTGCTGGCTCTTTGGCTTTGAAACGGAGATGAGCACTGCCCACTAGAGTTGGGAACAACTAACACATATGTGCAAGGGGAACCTTTACCTTAAATATATTACAAGTAATTACAATGACTTCTTTTTATGAAAAGAAGTAGCTAATTTGGTTGGACAAGTGGATTTATTAACATGAACAGATGTGTGCTTCAGGAAAAATAGTCTTTACAGTAACCTGTCTGACCAATTGTTCTATATGTGTCCTTATGAAAGCGTCCTCACGATGATACCCCATTAAGGTGGTTATAGAGTGTGCTCCCACAGGATATTTAGACCGATGTCTATAGGCAGCCAATGATGGTACTAAAGATGTTTATGGAATATGCATGCAGAAGAAAAAGTGAAGAAAGTACCGAAGGTCTTTTCATTTTAAGTGGCAAATCATCTGACTATAACACCTAAATATTTACGCTAGGAGATATCTTAAAGTGTAATTCTATTAAAGTGCTCAACAAGCAATCATAATAATATTGCATATTGGATTCATTAAAACAATGTCAGAATGTGTATTTGCCAGAGATGCAAATTCCTGGGCATCGGCTCTGCTCATCAAATTGTGTCCCTTGAATTCTATATCTAATGAAAATATATTACAATGCCAAATATGGCAGTAGAGGACTTTTCTCTACCACACATCATGAAATTCATGAATCCCACTATTACAAAACTATTTCCCACATTAAATGATAGAGAAAAGCCATAGAAAAATTAGTCCAAAATTCACCAAAAACAGAGAAAATTCATCCTGATGTACATTAATCAATCTCAGCTATACCTTCCTTTGCTGTTTCTGCAAGGAATACAAAGCTCCACAAGTTTTGCAGCAGTAGAGAATCTTAAGGAAAGCTTTACAGAACTCATTGTTGAAGGTGGTTTTAGATGATAGGTTTGAGGGCACTGTTGATGTAACCAAAGCCAAGTACTAACACTGTAGAGTTCTGGGGAGACATGGCAGGCTTGACAGTGAATATTCAATATGTGTGTCATGAACAAAGGCAGCCAGCAGACTATAAAAGTCCCTAGGAGATAAAAGAAAATGAGAAAGCAACACATTTTTGCTCAGTAGTGTTTAATTGTGGATATAAGTCTTCATTCACATAAATCTAAAGGCACTCATCTAAAGGCAAACTGCCACTCTGAAGATAATAAGTGAACAAGGTCAAATTAATTCTGTCTGTTTTTAAGGTAACTACACATTACTCTAGAAAATACTTGGAGATCCTTGATTGTCTTTTCACATATCTTATTAAAAGCAAAGCACATGTGGAAAATAGCAATAATAAAAATAAATATAATTTTAGCTGACCATCAGTAAATTTACTTTTAAAAGATAATGGAAAAACTATTTAAATGTGAGTCTTTTTGTTGTTAATTTATTCCCCTTTGAAGCAAGGTACTTCAAATTTCTTGGTAATCTGAATTACCAAATATATATGTGATTATTTTTTTCTCTATGATTGGAAACAAAATGGAGAAAAAACCTGATCTAAAAACAGTATTAAGTACCTCGTTCTTTGGCTTTATAAACTGCTATAGAGTTTGCCTTTTTGCTCTTGCTAAGAGCAAAAGTGGTGCACGGTACATATTTTTCCCCAGTCAGAAAAAGCAAACTTTCTTTTGTTAAACAGAAAGGGACAGAGATCTAGTCATATTTAGTCTTGGCCTTAGGGGTCAACACAGACTCTATAGCTTTCATTGGTGACCTCTTGCAGCCATTTAAGATAATACATTTCCCATGTTTAAAGTTTTGGCTTTTTTCTTAAATTAAAAAAAAAACCATCAAGTAATTTTTTTTCTGTAAGATATCAATCGGGATCACAGTTATTGCAACCCTTGGATCTGAAATGTTTTTTTTCAAAAGCATCTCCCAATTCACACAAATATATTATCTGCAAATACTGTATATTATCTCTTACCTCGATAACTATTCTTGGCAATCAATTAGTATAAGGCCAATATTAAGCTGACCCACAAAGTGTTGTTGATGATAGAGCTCTTTAATGCATCAGCATAAGGCTAGTAACTCTGATATTTAAAATGCAAGTATTCTGAACAATTTGTGTCTCTGGTGTAATTACCAATTATAAAGTTCATAACAAAACTTAACAGCTGCTGTCAAAAATATCCATCATCTCTTCTTCATTATATTGCCTGAGGCAGATTGACAGATTACTGCCAATGACATTCTGTGTTTCCAACTGAGATTTTAGTACTGCAATAATGTCATTTAGGATTATAAATCTAAAACAGTAAATAGAACGTTTCCTTCACAAAATGAGAAATAAGACTAGAACGTTAAAAGCAATATCGTTTATTTGACAGTTTTTCACATTGTTGAAGAAATCATTCCTATCAGATGGGGCTCTTAAATTGGGATTTGGGATCCTGTCGGTATTATATACAAATCTGAGGAAGCATAAAGAGAGGCTAGAAGCATAAGCAGAGAGCCTGAGTCTAGCCTTGTATTCTACCTCAGCATTTTACCTCTGGAGAGATTTTTAAAAAGTAAGGAAACTTTTTCATCATGTACTAAGACTGTGTTTACCAAAACAGAAGACTAAGATTTTTACCCATGTTTTGTAGAACAAACTGTAATGCTTTAATTAATGGTTAATGCTAATGCATAATGAGTGAGTTCCCACACTGAATGATGCCAAAACCTGAGCTTAGCAAGGTATCACTATAATTTTAAAAACAGTGACTTTCATAGTTCATACATGATCTCATGTCAATCATATAGCTGTCCATTTTTATTGTGATTTATTTTTAGAAAAATACAAATCAGAGCCCATAACAGATTAATTTGTAGCACAGTTAACCAAGATATTTCATTTAAAGTCCTAAATACTTAATTCATTGCCATATTAATTTAGTCAATATTGTTATCTTTCATATGAGCTTTTCCATATTTATGGATAATGTTTTTATTCCAATACATAAATTACAAAAAGGTTAGGATTATATTTTTCTAAAAAAAATATTGTTACTTAAAAGAAGTGACACACTCAGCATGGAATAGAACAGCTTGCCACGGCCAACTCACTGCAGCCAACTTGCAATGGCCAACTTCTCATGGCCAACTTTGAGAAAACTTGCCATTGCCTACTCACCATGGGGCAACTAGCTGTGGCAACAATTTCACAATTCAATTTTATTATTTAAAATAAATTTAAAAATTGTTTTATTTTTTATCATTCACATTTCATTTTGTCCCTCCATTTGCATCCTTTCTTTAATGATTCTATTCCACCATTTCTTTGATATTAGTGTAACTCTTGTCCTGCAGCAAGTTGTCCTGTAGCGAGTTGGCCATGGCAAATTGTCATAGACCCCACTCAGCATCCATTTATACTGTCATGAATTCTACATTTACTGTACTAATGAATGAATCTGATCAGATTTAAAGAGGAATGAAGATTTTGCAGATTGCCAACACAAAACGTATCATTTTGTCAAATTCCAAATCCCTAACTACCATTTATAGCCCATCAATAAATCTTGCATTGTACATGGGTTATGTGCTGTGCTAATATCAAGGCAAGATATATTGTATGTGGTTCATCATTTAAATAACTGTTTTATATGTTTCCTGGAGAAGATCTCTCCATGTTTATATATGTCATTTACAAATGTCCTATTCATGGGTACTATTTCTTCA